CATTACTCGTAGCAGATTTATTGTGATTTTTTTTCTTCTTTTTGTTTTGATAGTGTGAAAAACACAGTACACACATTCCATGACTTAGAAGGAAATTATAAAAAAAAGCGAATTTAAACAATTGTTCCAATGTCTCTATAGTCTCCAAATACTGGATACTTCTGGACAAATATAAATGTTGCAATAGGTTGTGACATCATATCACAACATTATGAGGTACCACATTTTGAAGGTCACACATTGATATGACTATAACGTAAACATTTAAAGTAAAGAGAAGGAATATATATATTCTTTTCATGGATGTATTATGTCAGAGGGTGAGCCATCCTTAACTGTCCAGATATGAGGACTGGTGAAAGATCAAATTGAGATAGAATCATGCGTTTAAAAATATATATAATTTTTATTCTTTATTCATTTTCATCGCAAGGGCTCTGTCATATGTTTTCCTTACAAAACGTCAATTGAAAAAAAAAAGTTAAACTAGAATTACTAACATGACTATTTGTTTAAACATTTTCGCTTCAGTGAATAAAAATAAAATTTCGTTGGATATTTGTGGCATCAGACCAGAAATCATTTCGTTTTGACGAATATATTTTTATTTCCTAAGTAGTGTTGCCATTCTAGCAATTTCCCGCTAGTTTTTTTTAAAGTTATGATCTCTTAGGAAAATTTTGAAAGTTTATAATTAGCAATTTTGTAAGTCCTTTTTAGCGGGAAAATGACATTTACTTACATGTCTAGCGGTTTTTACAGTCCAGTCTAGCGGTTTTGTGGAAATATAAATGGCAATACTGTATCCTAGGCAAAGGGTGTCAGTGAAGCAGATTTTCCTCTTCTTTTAATTGCAAAACGTAGCGAAACTCTTCGGAATCACTAAAACAAACAAATGACAAAAAAACAAACAAACAATAAACAAAATTGATAATATACATAAATATAATCATTACGATTAACCTGTCGGTGTACGAGCATTATTGCAAGATGTCGCCAGGAAAGATATCTTTGGAATTACTTCTTCGATTTTAAGAGATCATTAAGTCTATTCTAAAACTAAACAAAAACAAATTTTAATACGGCGCAGAAACAAGTGCGTACAATCCCATGTGACATGAGGTTTCCAATGAAATTAACACAATGGCTCGAAAAAAAAAAACAAAAAGTGCAACATGACCTCATCCAATCGGGCGGAACGAAATAGATTCACAGTAATATACATATATATGTATATATATATTATATATATACGTTATATATATATATATATATATATATATATATATATATAAAACATTGGTAACATTTTCGTCTAGCAGTCTTGTGACCGAGTTCAAATCCCGCACTGGCAGTAAATGGCAACCCCGTCATTCCTCGTACACAGTGGGTAATTTAGAAAGAAAAATAAACACCCATAATTTGACAAAAGTCACAAGAGCCAGAAACACCACTATCATCATTACACACATGTATGTATGCGCACGCACACACACACACTCGCAAACACACACACACGTACTGTTTGTGTGCGCACATAAGCAAACAAATTCGCATCTGGCTGTTTGTGTGTATTATCTGGAGCGAAATACGGATAAATTCGTAGCATAAACTATCTCGCAGCATTTGCTTTGAATCCCACATGAACACACACACGCACACAATTATCAAAACAATACATCTCCAATATATCATTCTGTCGCAAAAGCAGTCTATGAAATAAATCAGCTGTAGAGAACATGGTGATTGCATGATCAACATCACAACTTAACTCTTCTGCAACACAATTCACGTCATGCAGGTGAAGATGTACAATATTAACACGTGAACCTCATGCACTGTGATATAACACTGTATATAACCGTTGAGAGGTTTGCCTTAACCTTAGCCAATGTTACAACATGATGAGACAAATAAAACAACAACAGGAAAGCCAAAAACAGGACGCAACATGACAAGTCACTGTGTTTGTGTATGCTTTTACTGCCTCGACCTTTCTCACTCTCTGGCACCAGGTCAGAGAGGCATGACCCTTCCTCCACATTCACAGCGCACAAGTCTCTCTCCATGAGGTCTTGCTCGCGAGGACAGTCATGTAGTGTGATGCAGTGAGGGTGCAGCGGCGAACACCGTGACAACACGCCAGCCGCACAGTGAAAGATGTGTCAAGCTGAACTACATACGGAAGAGCTGAGGAACCGAGAGGATCTTAATATCAGAACTCAACTTACTCTCTCCAGTTCTTTCTCCAAGTCCTTGTCCTCCTTTATAGGGGATATTGAAGAGAAAATCTTTGGGTCGGACATTTGGCGCCTGTGCCCCCTGCGGCGGTGGTTCCTTGGGGAGGAGCTGGCTGACCCAGTGGAATTGCTCGTGCCAGCCATGCCCAGGCGACGCTGTATTTCCATTCTAAAAATTGAAAACAAAGTGATACATGCATGTTATCAGGACACACAATGCCGTTTCGGATTTGGGTTTGGTTGAGCTTATTTTTTTTTTTTTTTTTTTTTTTTATCCAAGAGGAAGAACAGTACGTGAGACAATCACGTGTTTTCCTACGTATCTCTCTCGTTCTCAGGTAGTGAAGTAGATGAAAATAATGGGTAAAGAAAGAAGAGAGAATGTATAGTGATGTAAATATGTATGTGTATATAAATTTGGTGACCATACTGTAATGGAGCTTAAAACACTGAAGGCATATGCAAGGTACATTATATATATATATATATATATATATATATATATATATATATATATATATATATTATATATATATATATATATGCTTATATAATACACATGTGTGTATGAGAGAGAGAGAGAGAGAGAGAGAGAGAGAGAGAGAGAGAGAGAGAGAGAGAGAGAGAGAGAGGAGAGAGAGAGAGAGAGAGAGAGAGAGAGAGAGAGAGAGAGAGAGAAGAGAGAGAGAGAGAGAGAGAGAGAGAGAGAGAGAGAGAAGAGAGAGAGAGAAGAGAGAGAGAGAGAGAGAGAGAGAGAGAGAGAGAGAGAGAGAGAGAGAGAGAGAGAGAGAGAGAAGAGAAAGAGAGAGAGAGAGAGAGAGAGAGAGAGGAGAAGGAGAGAGAGAGAGAGAGAGAGAGAGAGAGAGAGAAGAGAGAGAGAGAGAGAGAGAGAGAGAGAGAGAGAGAGAGAACAGAGAGAGAGATACATTCTTAAACACAGAATTGATACTTTCCCATCAAAAGGTTCACTTCAGATTCGGCATTGTGCGAAAGTTGACTCGCAGTTTTAGAAAGTGAGACTATTCAATAAAAAAAAAAGTGGAAAAGGACAGAGAGAGGAAAAAAATATATATGCTTGTTCATAAAGCTTTTTTTTTTTTTTTTTTTTTTTTTTAAATAATAACAATATCTGCTAGACAAAAAATAGTATATATATATATTCCATCTCGACTGCGTGTCAACTCCTACAGAATAATCGTGCATTCACGTCTGGAGAGGCAAATGGGGGAACAGAACGTGCTTCATTCAGGGGGGGGGGGTTCCTAGCCTCACATTATCTAGCTAGTCAGGTGATAGCAGTTAACCGAGGCAATGGGACACACTACACGCAGGTTGGGCGTTGAGGGGGGGGGGTTTTTTTTTTTTTAAGAAAAGAGCGCAGCGTCTCAGAGAGGAGGCAAAGAACCACTCTTTTTATTTATTTTTTTTATTTTTTCGTTTCCTTTTTTTAATGTATATATCTGCGGGTTGCTGCATTCACTATCTTGAACCACATATTCAGAATAATGCCAGAAAGGTATTATCATCACATAGAGTCGAAGGGTTGTGCATAGATATGGTTATTCTCTCATGTATGGCGCTTAGACTGGGTTCATCTCGAGCGCAGGGTTCAACAAACCTCTGCTTGAGCGTGAGCGATCCCGTGTAGCTGGAAGAGGATAGGCGGTCCAGCTCCCTGCGCAGGCGACCGTCCCTGTCCTTGTCCTTATCTGTGAGGGCACGGCGCCGGTCTTCATGCAGCCGGAGCAGCTCGGCCTCCAGGATGGCCCGCCGGTCGCCTGTGGTGGACTTGAGCTCCTCCCTCAGCTGTTCCTTCAGGTTCTGCATGTATTCTGGCAGCTGCTGCTGGGACCAATATAGATGGCCTGAGCATTCCGGCATGCAGTACAATGGGTCTACTGAACAAATATTAGCTAATACAACATGTTTCTCATTATTTCATGCGAGATTATGTCCTGTATTGATAAATTCATCATAAGAATCGGTCACATATTAGCGTGCAAAATGCAAAGCAAAGTAAAAATGTCTAAGTCAAAATGTCCGCATCTGACGGATGTATGTAAAATTATCCTTGTCTATTCTACAACAAACCACTATTCTTGGTGGAGTATCCATAAGTTTGCAAGCATTTTATTTAGAAAACTGTTTATCACAATGTGTAACAGATAAACTTCTGGCACGGTTAAACAAGCTGTAAACTGCGATGTTTAAAAAAAAGAACTACACAATGATGAAAATCCTTACCTCTGCAATTGATGGTATGGGATTATGAGATCTTATTTTTGGAAAATCCACTTGTTAACACTACATCACTTCTTAAAGCAAATGGTGCTTTTGCATGTGCATGGATAAGACAACGTTGACAGGTAGTTATGATACTTATGATTATGATATTTGACAAAGTATGATACAATAAATTTTTTCACCAGAATTTTCACAATGTAAACCTTTCCGAGAATCTTTAAATTTTGGAAACGTGCTCTTCAGTGCCACCGTGGAAATGACTTCTTTAAGCATCTATGTGGACAACAGGGCTGAACATATCTTTATCGATGGTTTAAAGTCTAATATATCTAAACACTAACAGCATAAGTGATCGTCATTGGATGGAGCCAACCAACCGAGACGCCCGCATGACCATATGCAGATGATCGAGAAAAAACAATGATGGCGATGTGGCAATGCATGTGTGATCGTATTCCCCGACATCGATGGATCCCACACTCGATGGACACACGACGAGAAACAACAAACAGACAACGTGGAGGAGAATGAATGAATGCGCAAATGGACGACAAAAATAGAGGCACAGGAAGAAGCACCGAAGGGAAACCTCTCAAAATGACGAGAATGACTCCACAAAAGGCCAAACAAATGAAACACAGAACAGAGATCTCGACATTTTCGTTTTAGAACGGTTTTAGCAACATATGGAGGAACAAGGGAGAACGAGGGATTTCGAATCCTTCATCATGCTCGCAGGGGGACTTTTCGAATCCATCAATCTTACATGAGATGCTAGGACCGACCACAAATTTCTACAGGTCGACCCTCATCGACCACAGACTTTGCATACACTGAAACCTACAAAGGACACTGGCGCACCGTTACATGACACCAAGACCCAACAGACGCCTAAAAAAAGTGCCAAATGTGTACATCGTGATATTGGAACACTATTGACAGACACCACTCACTCTGTGCCGTCCCTTGGTGTAGAACAGAGAACAGGGCAACAGCTCAAATCACAGTTGAATTCAGAAATAGAAAACGAAAGGTGTTACTGATGTAAATACATTTACAGGTGATTGCATGTAAGTTTTGGCTCATATTTGTATCTTATTTCATTCCCCACATCATGTATACTTTGTCTATCCTGTTAGTCCCTGAGAAATTGGAAATGTCAGTAGTCGATAGTTTTGAGAAATAGTGTAGGATAAATCATCATTGTTTTTTTACATATAATTAGCAGATCTAAATGTAGAGCTATGGTAGCACAGACAGACAGTATAGTAGAGGAAAGGAGAGAGAAACGAAAAATCTACACTAGTAACACTTAATATTTTCGAACTAAAATCACCAATTCTGAAGAAGGACTCGGAAGATGGCCTTTCGCTCTCATGCTCCGTTCTGAGGCGAGATGAAAAATCACGTATCTCGGAGAAAAGACGGATCATTGTTTTTTTCCCTTAAGAATAAGGCTACAATATTATTTCGACTAGCAGTGCATATATGACGTTCGTCTGTGATACTTTTGTTTATTTCTTATCTATTTTCAACTTGGACCGACATTCACGTACAGTATAATAATTTTCACAACAGTTAGGTGCGATGACGAATCTAATATCAGGGTGTGCTTTGGGGACTTACAGTAGACCGATGGCGTTTCAAACCATTATGGTAATATAATATAGACACTATAATGTGTGGTGTATAAATATTATATATATTAATATATATATATATTATTATAAATATTGTATATATAATAATATATATATATTATATATAATATATATATATATAATATTATATATAATAATAATTATATGTATTATCAACACCACACGAAACACAAACAGAGACTAATATATCGATAGTAAGATATATAAAACACTCGGCGCTAGCGCTCGCATACACATATTATTCTAAGTCACAGGGGAGAGTAGGCAAACATATACACACACTGGTCAACTAGAAATATATGCTGACACAGGTTAGGCGGGCCAGCTAGATGCCTTCATGCGAATCTATACTGAACTGTAATACTGAGCAGAACAATGTGTTTATCACTGCAAACTTATTCTTAGTCAGTCAAGTTCTCTTAGTGAACTTACTCGAAAATTTCAGTCAGTGAATCCTTCAGTAATGAGGTATTACTTATAAAACGGAATCAATTTCTACGATTGTTTTTTCACTCATGAACAGTGTTAATTACCTCTTTATGGTAATTACCCGCATTTAGCATGAGAAAGGGAGAGAGAGAGAGAGAGAGAGAGAGAGAGAGGGAAGAGAGAGAGAGAGAGAGAGAGAGAGAGAGAGAGAGAGGAGAGAGAGGAAGAGAAAGAGAAAGAGAGTAGAGAAGAGAAAGAGAGAAAAGAGAAGAAAGAGAGAGAGGAGAGAGAGAGAGAGAGAGAGAGAGGAGACGAGAGACGAGAGCAGAATCAAAAAAAAATAATAATAAATATGTAAAAAAAAAAAAGAAGAAAAGCTAGTGATCAAAATTCAGGACAAACGAGAATTTTGTTGTGGTGCTTGTACTTATATCTGAATGCTGGCCTTTTTGTCTAAACTAGTTTCTGTCA